CAGGCAAATTTGCCTGTGTTACAATTTAAGGGATATATATGATCATTTATGATAATCATTATCTTACAGATGCTGAATCTTAAAATTATCCAGAGTATGGTTCAAATGAATCTGCTAAATAAAAAATACAATCAATTATCATAAAATCGTGACGTCTGTGCATTATTTGGCTGCCCGATACGAAAGTATCAGAGCAGCTTTTTGCCCGAATCAGTTACGGGGGTATATTAAGGGATCGGGTATTTGAGTGATTTTATGCAGATGACTTTTCATATGATTTTAGTAGTTTTTTGCATTGTTATGATTTATAGTATGATCCGGTTGACCATTGTTTGATTTTTGTGACGTAATGACGTAGTAATTTGTTGATTAGTAATCGCTAGTTGGTATTTAAGGGAAATAGGGTTTTTCCCCAGGAAGAATAAGTTCTGTTTTTTCTGCTAACCCGACTTTGTCTGGTTTTTTCATGCTATACCTATACCTATAATTTTAGACACTTTATTGTTTTCTATATCAATTATACCGTTGTTATTTTTTAAAGAATACAAAACATAAAGAAATATACATTCAAAATAAACGAAGTTCTTTTTACTACATCTTTAAAAAAAGGAAAAAAAATTTTCATTACCTTCGATCTTGTCGTTATGTTATCATCTGATAATAATAATAATAAGGAACAGGATCTGGTTGTATATAATGGTACACCAACTCAGCCGGACATGTCTCAAGCGGCTTTGGAATCGAGCTTGGAATGTCTATCTTTAGAGGCATTAAGGTTCGTTTGTAAGGTATTAGGAGTTTCGAATTCGGGTTCCAAGAAGGAGGTCATAGCAAGATTGCTCAAAGAAGGAAGAGGCTGTTTGGAGCCAGATGTGTCAATCGATATCTCTGGGGTCTCCAGAAAAGGAAGGGATGTGCAACTGCAACCATTAGAGAACCAGAGTGAAGGGTTTTTGGATAAATCTGATATGTTTCGATGGACTAATGATAGGTTCCAACAATCGAGTTCGGGGGTACAAAGGCCTCTAGGTGCTTTCGAAGGGCAGGCGATACTTGGTTCGAACATGTTACCAAGTGGGCCCTTGAATAATAGAGCTATTAATTGGGGAGCAGAATTGGGTGCTTTGTCATTGAATGACTTAGGCTATAAGGATATGTGAGAGAAACATGAACTGACAAAACAGCGTAATCAGTGAGAGTATAATGAATGGTGTAAAACTGGGCGTTGTTAGATAAGGTGTTGGTTTCAGGTGATATAGCTTATGTACATTTGGCTAGGCAAGTTGTCATGGAAAGAGCCTATATGGTGAGAGTGGCAGATGAAGATGATTGGGAGGTTGCTTCTAAGATAGCGTCTACGGACATGTCAGACCCAATGTCTGAGATTTTAGGAAGTAAGCGTGAAAGGGCTAGATTGGCAACGCAACATTTCCTAAAGGCCAAGAAGCTAAAGTTACTGTTTTACCCTCGTTTTGGGCGGTTCCCGGCGTCAACTTCTGCATTTTAGATGGGTGGTTTCCCTACAACACAGCTCTCACAGTATCAGCTATATATTCAACAACCGGGTTTTCATCATCAGTTCCCAAGTCAACCATTGAGTCCGCAAGTTCCTTTTGGTGGTTCTTGAGCTCTTCCTGCTCAAGCTGCGCAGTCAGCTCCCCAGTTTTTTCAAGGTGGACAACACTAGCAGGTTGTCAACTCGAATGTTGGTTTGTCGTCTCTGGGACAGCAGCAAGCTTTTTCCCCAACACCGTACTGGGCAAGAAAGGGTGATAAGAATAAGTAGACTAAGGGAAAGGAGGTGGTTTGTTATTTGTGTGAAGACAAAAGACATTTTGCCAATGAGTGTAGTTCCATGAAGCATCTTGGCTTGCCCTTTCATAGGGACGGTGTGCAACCGGGAAATAGTTAACTACACTCGGGGGATGATAGAATTGGGAAAAATAGAGTCGGATTGTGTAACTGGGGAGATTCACGACTAGGCAGCAATAAGATATTGGGAAGAGATAAAAAGGCCGTTGCAGTTGGTGTTGAGATGGTTGAAGGAAGGAATCCTGTTGTTTCCAAAAAATTTAATGCGGTTAGTAGCCAGTCCGGCCCCAAGACCTTATTGTTTTACGAAGGAGGAGTTGCTTTGGTTGAGAAGGGAGTTGGAGAGGTTGGTGTTAGAGGGAGCAATAGTAAAGCTGGGCAAAGGAATTTTTCGTCCAATGGACCTTCTGGAAGTAAGCCCTGTTTTTCTAGTTCCGAAGCAGGGTCCTCGAAGGTTTCATTTAGTAATCAACTTGCGAAGATTGAACCAGTCATTGCCCCAAAAGTCTTTTCGGTTCGAGGGGCTGGGCGGCCTGTTGTGGACAATAGGCAGAAGTTGGTGGCTGATTTTTTTCGATCTAAAGGATGGTTATCATCATGTACTGATGAATATCGAAGCACAAAGAATGTTGGGCTTTGTTATAGAGAAAACGTAATATCAGTACCGGGTGTTGCTGTTTGGCCTCAGCCAAGCACCCTGGATTTTTTCAAAGATAATGAGGGCCCTAATTGGCAAATGGTAGGCTTAGGGAGTGTATTGCGGTAGCCATTTGGATAATGTTTGGGTGGCTCATCCAACGAAAGAGGGCTTACTGGAAATAAGGGATAAGATTATCGAGGTGGATCTCGCAGGTTGTGGTTGGGTTCGGGCCAAAGAGAAAGGGTGCTGGGACTCGACACAAACATTGAAGTTTTGCGGAATGATTGTAGACACGTTGAATAGCGTAGTGATAGCCCCGGAGGAAAAAATAGCTTCAACTATTTCAAAGCTGGAAAAAATTTTGCAGGCGCTAGCAGTTTTCGCAAGAGACTTGGTGTCAGTAGCGGGAAAGGTTGTGAGCTTAGGAAGAGCGTTTCTACCAAGCCAGGTGAAATGTATAGAATTTTACAAGCTAATAGATTCCAGGAATCGGGCGGTTTGGCAATGGGACAGCAGCATTCAACTGTTTGCTCAGGCAATCAAGGATATTCGTTGGCTGGTAAGAAACCTAAGAAGATAGAATGGCCGGCCGGTCTGAAAACCCTTGCGAGTAAGATTGGTGTATGTCGATACATCAACAAGGGGTTGGTGTGGTATTTTTCAAGGCACAAAGCTTCGGGAAGTTGGGTGCAACCACATGCCCGAATGTAATAGCCCAGTTAGAGGTGTTGGCTGTGCTTCGGGCACTTCAATCATTCAAAGGCCTGCTGAAAGGAACCTGGATCACTCTGTTCATCGACAACAAGGTAGCTTTGAAGACTGTGTCGAATGGAGGTCCTACGGACTGGCAGAAGAACATCACAAGAGAGATTTGGGAGGTGTGTGTAGAAGCTGATATCAGAATTTTCAGTACAAGATGAATTCTGAGCAAATTGAACTCGGTGGATTCGTTAACCAGAGTCCTGGATCAGGGAGATTGGATGTTGAGTTCGGCAGTAACAGCCTATCTAGAGCAAGAGTGGGAAAAATTCGAGGTGGACAGATTTGCGAGTCACCTAAATGCGAAGACCTGGAGATTCAACAGCCTGTATTTTTGTCCCGGAGTCGAGGTAGTAGATTGTTTTATCCAAAATTGGGCCGGGGTAATGAATTATGTTTGCCCTCCATTTAGCTTGATTCACAGGGCTTTATGTCATGTCAGGGAATGTGGGGCCCTGATAGTTATTATTGTTCCGGTTTGGGTCTCGGCGCCGTGGTAGCTCTTAATAGTAAATTTGCAACAAAAGGAGATCGATTTACCTCCAGCGAGCCAGATAATCTACCTGGGACCTTCGGGAAATTTGGAGCTTTGCAAAAACAAGCAATGGGCTTTGAGAGCGGTACTCCTGGATTGGTCAAGGATTTGTTAAATAGGGCTGAGTTTTTAATGGGCAATTCTATCTGTGTTTTGTATAGTAAGCGTCTAGAAAAGGTGCAAAGAGTTTTTGTGAATTTTGCTCACTGGGTGGGGTTGCACCCGTACCCGGCTTCAAATGAGCTTTTGGCAGCCTTTCTTGCTTGGTTGGAACTTTCCAAGAGAGTTGCGGAGATGCCAACTTGCTTGACGGCAATTGCTAGAGGGCACAAAGTTAGAGGCTTGGTGGACTCAACAAAAGGTAGTCAGATCCGATTGATTGTTGAGGGTATTAGGAAATCTACAGTTCATGCAAAGGCAGGAGCCAAGTGGCTGCGAGACCCGCTTCCGGTTTCAGTAGTTAGAAAGTACGTGAAATGTCCTCCACCCAGTGCCAGTATAGTGTTATGGGCTCAGGACCTAGCCTTGGTAGCCTTGGGTTTGAGAATTATATGTAGACCGAGTGAACTGTGCAACTTGAGGAGGTCTGATGTCGTTGAGAGAGACAGAAAGTTATAAATAAGAGTCGTGAAGTTCAAAACGGACCAATTAGGAAAGGGCAAGTTTATTCCAATTGAATGATCAACAAGTGAGGTGTGCCCAGTCAGGTTATTGGATCATTACTTAAGGCTCAAACCTGTGACGTTACCAGATAAGCCTTTGTTTTTGTCAAAGGATGGTAGAAAGTTGTCTGTTGCAACAGTTTCTGCAATAGTTAGACATTTTGCGGAAAACGCTAGTTTACAGGGAAGATACACAGCGCATAGCTTAAGGATTGGTGGTGCTACGGCAGCCTTGAGAGGTGGAATGACTTTGGAGCAAATCCAGTCAATCGGGGGTTGGACTTCCGGGGCTGTACAACTATATATGAGAGCAGTGGGTACTGCAGAATTAGGGGTCTCAAGTCTAATGGGTTTTGATTAATAGTAGGTAGATTCTTTATATATAAAAGGAAAACCTTTTTGTAGCGATGCTCGGCAAGGACCCATATTTGATTTCCATTTATTGCAATTTGTTTTCCAATTGTTTTTTCGTTTGTTTTCGTGTTGATTGCCAATTGTTTAATATCTGTGACACCCCCTCAATGAGAGACAAATTTGGCTGCCCGATACGAAAGTATCAGAGCAGCTTTTTGTTCTGAATCAGTTATGGGGGTATATTAAGGATCGGGTATTTGAGTGATTTTATGCAGATGACTTTTCATGTGATTTTAGTAGTCTTTTGCATTGTTATGATTTATAGTATGATCCGGTTGACCATTGTTTGATTTTTGTAACGTAATAACGTAGTAATTTGTCGATTAGTAATCGCTAGTTGGTATTTAAGGGAAATAGGGTTTTTTCCCAGGAAGGGTAAGTTCTGTTTTTTCTGCTAACCCGACTTTGTCTGGTTTTTTCGTCCCCCCACCCTCTCCTAGTAAGCGTTTTTTTTTTTTTGGTCTTACCCTCTTGTATCAATTGTCGCTGCCCCGAAAATCATGGTTTGTCAGAGCGGCAGCTACTTTGTGGTTTTTTAGTTTTATGGCTTGCCCGATTTGGCGGTTGTTTTTTAGTTTTTTGAGAGGTGACCTGTCAAAATGACAGTCACAATTATTTTGATGCAAAAAGTGGCCTGTTGGGACGACAGTCACAGAAGTTTGGTTGTGTCAGGGTTTTTTCCAGTATGACTGGTTTTTTTTGCCCTGACCGCCAATAGTACCACTATAGTGGCTTACGTAGAAAACAGTAGCTATAGAGCTCTTTGTCATTCGATACTTTCGAATGCTGTATTGTTAGTACACACATATGTAGCATGCAGCGGAAGGGACAGATAACCCATATTTGATTTCCATTTATTGCAATTTGTTTTCCAATTGTTTTTTCGTTTGTTTTCGTGTTGATTGCCAATTGTTTGATATCTGTGACACCCCCTCAATGAGAGACAAATTTAGAGTATATACGTACAAATCCAGACCGCCAACCTGTACCTTGCATTTACACTGTTTTTCTGTGCCACTTTTTTATTGGGCTTGTAAAGTAATCATTCTTGTTTTTGAAGTGCAAGAACAAGAACAATTATGTATTGAGACTTTTATAAAACGGTTGGTAAAACATTGGATAATCAGCAAATTTGGCAAATCAATGTTTTACGAGTTTAAGTGCTGTGTTGATTACTGTGTTGTTTGTTATATATTACATACTGTAGTAAATGCTTGTACTCATGTACATACGTACAAACTCTATAAATTACTTTGTATCTTCATTGACGTTTAAACAAAAGATCTGAGTTGAATTTTAACCCAATGGGAGATTTAGATTTAATAACTTCGTATAATGATATTGTTTTACCGACTGCATAGGATATTAAAGATAAATCACCATTTATTAACATAGATTCAAATGGACTTAAAGTAAATTATACAGGTAATATGAAAATGAGAAATCTTGCAGAAACATTTTAATGTGTTACTATAATCATTGGCATCTAAAGAATATCATCATAACGTTTTTAATTTATTAAAAACCTTTTAATTAAAGATCCTGATGACTATAAAGCTGTTATTGTTCGAGCAAATCATCTAATCCCTTCAGAGTGTGGAATATTTTACTTTGAAATTAAAATTATAAACAAAGGAAAAAATGAGTAATGTTAATAATTATTCGTATCATAAACATCACTTTTGTACTTTTGATTTTTTATAATCTTTTTAATTCTATTTTTTTAATAGAATGATTGGAATCGGATATTGCACAAAACAGAGTGATGAAAAAATAGATGATTTAGATTATATAAATAATATGCTCATGCCTGGTAATATTAAATTTTTATTTTATTTTCTTATTATTACAGATTAACATCTATATTGTATCCTTTAGAACAGGAATATAAGAATAAGGATAATAAAAAAGCGAGAAATATGAATCGTGGGGGTGTGGTTACCATGGTGACGATGAATATTCTTTTTGTTCAGGAAGTTGTGGGCCATATGGGTCATCGTATGGTACTGGTGATATAGTCGGATGCTATCTAAATTTTAGAAATAATATAGTGTTTTATACTAAAAATGGAATTAACTTGGGTAACCAGCATTTCAGAAACTGAAGTTTATATTTTTTAACATAATGGATAAAAGCTCAATAATTATAAAATTTTTAAGAAATTGTGTGCCATCTACCTAATGATTTGGAAAGCAATCTATACCCTTGCGTTAGATTTAGATCGCAAGGCGGATCAGTAGAAGTGAATTTCAACAACGAAAAATTTAAATATTCTGGTAAATTTATTCAAAGGTTTGGTCGTTTTGGCTTATTTTGAATTTAACCTTGTCTGTATATAACGTTCCAATTGATAGCAATGACTAATGAAGACATCAGCGTATTTCAATTGACAGCAATGACTAATGAAGACGTCGACAAACGCCTCAAAGGGTTTCGAAAAAAAACAAAAAAAAAAGATGAAGACATTAGTAAAAAATCAAATAATGCATTAACATTGGAATATCAAGAAAAAGTTTATTTTATTATGGGTGGATATGAAAATATGCTTGTTAATTTAACTAATAAATTAACAAACTCACTAGAAAAATATCCAAATAATATATTTGAATTATATTACAGAGAAAAAATATATTTTATTATGAGCAAATATGATAAAGCATTCGAAGATTTAACTAGATTATTAGAAATTGAGCCAGCTAATACAATGGCATTAAGATATTGAGGAGAAATTAACTATATGATGAAAAGGTATTCTGAGTCAAGTGCTGATTTGAAGAAATTAAACCAAATGACGTGTGGGCAAAAAAAGCTTACGAATTAATTAATGGGTTGTAAGTACAATATGCATTTGTAAATTTTAATAGCTTAAAATTTAAAAGATAATTTATCACTATATACTTATGTAACCATAGCCCGTAAGTAACTTTTTACAGTAAATTACTATGTATACAAATCAAATGCAAAACTAATATAACCCTATCTAATCACCTATATCACCATAGCTTGTACGTACAGTAACCGAACTTTTTATGGCAATTACTATACAATCACGATAAGTTCACTGCAAAACTAATATAACCCTTTCTAAATTACGCAGCCACAATAGTCGGTAAGTACAGTAACCGAACTTTTATAGCAAATCACGATAAGTCCATTACTAAACCAACTAGGGATGGCAAAAAACATGTTTTTTATTTTTTCATGTTTTAAAATATGTTTTAAAACATGTTTTAAAACATTTTTTATATTTTTTATTAAATAAATATAAAAAATATTTCATATGAAGTTGCAATTAATCTAAGTTGCTATTTTTGATATTAAACTTTAAAATTGAAACTTCATATATATATGTATAATTCTAGCCAGGTGCTATTAGATATTTAAAGTAGCAACTTCAAATAGGAAGCTACTTTAGATAAGTAATATGCCAATTATATAATTTTTAGATTTTATAATTTGTTCTAGAATATTCTAAAATTTTTGCACATATGGGCAGATTTTTACAATTCGAATATGTCACCTAAATTGAATGTGATATCTAAAAATAGATAACCAATAAAAATTTTCAATGATCAAAATAAAAATTTTATATATTCACATCATTATATACTGACATCTATAGAACTTGACAATGACCAGTAAATGCCAACTTTGTCAAGAAATCTTTTCTACTCGAAAAGAACTTGTAACCCATGAAAGAATTAGGCATCGAAATAACAAAATTATACCCACCATTATTTACTTATTAAGCCCCCTTTTGAGCAAATCATGATTTATCAAGATGCATTTATAGTTCTTATTAAAAAATGTCTTGGTTTTAACAGGCAC